CAAGAGGGGGAAGAAAGGGGCAGCAGAGGAGAGAGGGTGGGGATGGGGGCAGGGAAGAGGGTGGGGGCAGTGCAGGAGGGGGTGGGGACTCGGGGAGCAGAGCAGGGAGTGAGAGGGGAGAAGATGAGGGTCTCTTACCATCTGGCGTCCCTGCCCTGCTCCTGGTGAACTGAGTGCCAGGGTGGGGCAATAGGTAGCACCGGGTGCCGCTCGCCCTCAGGGCTTCCAACACTAGGGGCTGCTCAGCAGAGACCTCCAGGTCCTGCAGGAGTCAAAGCAACATTTGTGGCCATCAGCAGGGAATCAGACCCGCTGTGGAAACGTTCAGCTCCGCCCCAAAGTTTGCTGTTTCCATGAACACACGTGGTATCTGATCATTACCTGTGTGATTTCTCCAAGATACTCCTGCCCCGCGTCCACGCCGTAGGCTCCCGAGAGGTGCCAATCTCGCACCAACAGGTCCAGGCGCTGCAACAGAGAGCACAGGAGAAGGGTTACACTGGGGCTGGGGGGCACAGAGAGGAGACCAGAGCTGGAGGCTGTTGTCCAACCCAGCCACGGACACTGAGACCCTGGGCATGACGTGGGCGTGGAGGGAGAACAATGGACTGGCTGTTTCTTTGGGGTTTGTCCAGCATCTGGCACAATGGGGTCTGGGTCTAGGACGGGGGCTCTGAGGTGCTCTGGCAATAGAGACAGTAAATAGGAATAGTAAGAATCAGGTGGGATAACAGGACTGGCGGGGGGTGGAACAAGCATTATATCCTCATATGGGTTCAGATCCAGAGATTTCACTGAGCCCATAATATAGGTTAGGGCCATTTGCAAATTTTAAATGCAGATCTGGGTTTAGATGTGTTTGGATCCACAGTTTTTACACCATCAGATGTATTGCGATGTGGGTTCAGGACCATCTATAGAGGTAACCAGCTTTAGTGCCATTTTAAAAAACCTTAATACTCTTCTATTGCTCATTTTACTTGACAAAGAATTTGTAAGATATGACCATGTAAAATGAAAAGTCCAGACCTATCTATTATTACAATGGAGGCATTCATATATCTAGAGATAACAAGAGATTTACAAAATATGGATTTGGCAATTTTAAAAGTTATACAAACATAAAAACTGTGGCTGATTTTATAAATAAATCAAGCTCTGACTAAACAAATGGAAATTTGGCAAATAATTAGTCCATAATCCTGACAGCTTGACTTGCATTTGTATACACATGAAAAGAGCTGACCAAAAGGAGTGCAACTATTGCACCCAGCTCTAGATTTTCCCAAAGCATAAGGGGCTGAATCTGAACTCATTTATGTTGTAAGTCACAAGTAACTCCACTAAAGTCAGTGAGGTTACACTTGTGTGAAACCAGTGTGTTGAGCAAATGGAGTTCACACTGCTGGAAGAGTTATTGTTGTAGGTCTTGCTACACCCAGAAGTAGTGCTGTAGTGAGTAGGTTTCGCCTCGGAGCTACTGTGAATAAAACACATACTGTATTTCTCCTGCAAACACATGCGCCTCTCTGTGGGTCTACTCCTTCCTACACCATAATATGACAATACTCTCTCTGTGTTCTCTGAGACCAGAGCTATGGAAGCTGCACTAGAGCATTTGACCTGGAGTAAAGGGAGTTGATCGCTACATTTTAGCATGTTCACTCCTTAACTTGTCCATTCCATGTCAAGCATTGCAAACTCTTATAGTCTCATACTATCTGGTGGGGTTTTTAGCCCACCAATTCCTGGAGCTTTCATTTTAAAGATTCTTTGGTTTCATTTAAAAAAAATGTTTCTGGCCCTTTCTGTTGTGGAGAAAAGCTTGAAAATGTGAACTGTAAAGGCTCCAACACCAAAAAGCAAATAAATATCCAGAATAAGAGTGTCCACACTTGCAGTTATTCCGGAATAACTCATGTGTAGACACGTATTTATATAAACAATCATACAACATAAAATTTGACAGAGAATTTTGCCATAGAAATGTGAAAAGATCCACCCTTAAGACAGCTAGGGTCTGATTCTCCACCTGCTTACAACAATGTAAATCAGAAGCGAACTCACTGAAGTCTGTGGAATTATACTAGTGTAAAAGTGACGGCAGTTGGGGAATTAGGCCCTTAAAGTGCATTCACATGCTACACTGATGGGTGCAGTATAACAGTCTGATCCTGCACGGCTAGAATCAATGAGAACTTTGCTATTGACTTCAATGGGCACAGGAGCAGAACCTAAGTTATGTAACAAGTAAATACATATTTGGGACTATACTGGAATATGTATCATCCACTCAAGAGACAATACACTCATTGCCTATATTGTAGCATTAATTATAAGTCAAGGGGAAATGTCTCATTCATTTTTGCCCTATAGTTTATTAAATGCTTTTGAATTAATGATTTTTAATGGACTTTTTCCTCAAGATATTTGGCAAAACAGTTGCACATTCCTTCTAAGGGGCTGAACTAACTTATTTTGAATTTTATTTCTAATGTTTGCCTTTCTAATATGATTAGCTGTGAATCTGAGAGACATGAAGGAAGATATTAATATTGCTCATGGACAGTGATAATTTTATAAATTGCATAGAATTTCATAACAGCCATAGCTCAAGGCAGATTTATGACACACTGCTATGATTAAATAAAGAACTCTGACACTGGCTGTCTACAAAAGCCTGGCCAAGAATAAGCAGTATATGCTGCTGTATGAACTGCAGAGCAGCTGTTATTGAGCCTTGTCAGTTCCCAATGGTGAAGGAATTAAGTATGTATTGATCAAGCAGTGTCCAAGTGATTCCAAGCACTTTAAAAATGCCTTTCAGAAGTCTCAAGTTCGGATTAATAACCAAGAACAAGGGCACAAAAATAAAGAGCACGGTTCTACAAGGTCCTAAGCATCCTCAACCTCCATAGACTTATTTAGTTTTATAGTATCTGCTGTATTCAGGGTATCACAGCCTCTTTATGCAATTGGATACTCATAGTGCAAAGAACACAGGCAAATATGACAGTCATTATCCACTCAAGAATACACAGGACTTGGATATTTGAAAAGAGTGCACTGTGCTCCTCAAATTTCCTGTTAAAAGAGCCCAAAACTTGCAGACCTTATTCAGTCCATAATCAGGAAAAATTCCATTGATGTGATTTTTTGCCTGAATAAGGACTGCAAGATTTGGTAGTTAGTGAAAGAAAGAATGTTGATGAACATACTGCACACCAGGGTTATTTTCTCATCCCTTTTAAAAGGGCCATGCAATGCACCTGGGCAACCACCCATGGAGACAGATGGGCCCATCATTTAACATCTCCCCTGAAGGACAGCACTTCTCAATGCAGCAACCACATTGGCACTTCAGTGCTAGCGGTAGGGATGAGTCTCAGTCCCATATTGGGTCTTCTTTAAAGACACTGACAACTTGAAAATCATATTTCCATCTGAAAATTTTGTATTTACCATTACTGCAAGAAAACTCTAAAAATGTCTGAAACGGAGAGAAGTTACAGAATAATTCTACGTGTCTGTCTTGTTTTCCAGTTTGTTTACTGTGCAGTTGGCAGCACTTCGTATCTAGTCAAGTTCACTGTTCCAATGATCCTGCCTGCCCTTCCCCAGGCTCTGCAAACCACCACTGAAGAGGCAGCAGGCAGGAGTGTGCAGAAAGAGAAAAAGGGGAGAGGAGGGTTGGGCCTGAGCATGCTTGATGGTTGTGCTGTCACGTTCATCTAAAAGAACCTTCTAACAAAAACAGGGGAGGAGGAAAACTCTTACAACAATTGTAGGAAAAGATTTTTAAGATGTCAAGGCATAATATTTAAAGGCTGCTTTTTGAGAAATGTTGGATTCATTTAATTAATCAATTTTTTAAAGTTCAAGTTAACAGTGTCCCTGTAGAACCATTTTAACTAAAACTTTTGGGCTGAAAGTATAAGTTATGTTACATATTGTTTAAATCTTCAATACACAACAATTTAAAAGTAAATCACTTACCCACTTTCTTTGGCTTACTTTCCACACAGATTTTCCCTCTATTGCACTATTAATCTTATAGCTCTATCAGTTATAGCAATTTTGGGACCACTAAAATAAACAGGATTCCAGTGTTTTAACTATTGTATTGTCTTCACCTGATCTGAGCAGGGATAGATGATGTGGTAGTCAAATTCCAGTGTTGCTACCATGGTGAAACTGCACTTGTGGTAGTATAGTAGTTGGAAGTATGAAGAATTAACTATGTGCAGACACAGCTTCTGTATACTGAGGTTGGCTTTAAATTTACATACGTCTAACCTATATGTAATAATGCTATCACTATGGCTACGCTGTCAAATTCAGGAAAGTCAATGATTCATGAGCCTGGAGTGTGGTTTGACAAATAAAAAAGTACTGTACTTCATTTATTCTCTTGTTGAAAAAAACATGACCCTATGATTTACAATCCTTGCAGCAAGTGACAACTTCATGTAGTTTTAATAGTATCGCATATCTATTCTGTAAATAAATATATTAATATTATTAAAGTGCTGATAGTATGACCAACACTCTATGAGTTAAATATAACAAAATCCCTGCCTTGATGAATTTATGAGCTAAGGCTCTATCCTGAAATCAGATTCATGCAGGCCAAAATGTCCACCCCTGTGAATACAAATGCATGTCTGGGGGCTAAGAAACAGACAAACATACATACAGACAAATTAATGTAGATGCTCACTCTATTACATTATATATTTCTGTTACAATCTGGAGCTCCTTCATAGGGTGTTTAGGCCTAACATTAAAAAGGTGTGTGATTTTTCTTATTCCCCAGTGCAAGTTAATACACCTCTTCCCCAATATAACGCGACTCGATATAACACGAATTCGGATACAACACGGTAAAGCAGTGCTCGGGGGTGGGTGGCAGGGCTGCGCACTCTGGAGGATCAAAGCAAGTTCGATATAACGCGGTTTCACCTATAACGCGGTAAGATTTTTTGGCTCCCGAGGACAGCGTTATATCGGGGTAGAGGTGTATTGGAACTGAAATACCAAAACCAACATTAATATTTAGAATCATAATAATAATATTTTCCAAGAAGTTGGCTAGAAGCTGATAAGCTGCTGGCTGCTGTAACAAAATGGAATATCTAGATGTTTCCATGTCATATTTAACACACAAATCTACAAAGAGACCCGGGTCCAGGTTTTGACAAAGCTATTCATTTCTCATTAACCTTTACAAAATAAACTTATTAATTACACAACATAACCAAACACAGAAGGCTAAATTTAGGCTGTCTCTCACAAATATACATACTGGAAAAGAAGTAGCCAAATGGCTGCAACTGTGCCATTAAAAACTCTGCAGCCCTCCATCTACAGAGCCACAAACAGAGTTCCAAGGCATGACCAGTAGTCAAAGGCACAGGATAACTGGACCACAGCATTGGCAATAAGAGAGTTTACTGTCTCTGAGGAGAAGACAGACTGCAGGTGCATGACTGCAAGAGTGGCATCAAGGGGCCAAGAGGAAATGGAAAACCAGGCCCAGGGTGCCTGATATGCACTGGTTTAAATAAAAGGAAAACCAGGTTGCTCTAATTTATGTTTCAGCTGCAATGGTCCCCAGGGGACAATTTGGCAGCCCCCAATAGCCAGAGTACAGACTGCTCCAATCACACACTGTTCTTCCTTCAGCAGGCCCCTTTACTCCTGGGGCGTATCCCCTACATGAGCTTGTGCCAAGGGCTGAGAGAAGGGCAGTATAGGGCCATTCTGTCACCACAATTCTGTGCCAGGTGGTAGAAGGGCAGAGAAGAAGTTTCTCACACCAACAGGATTGAACTTGTGAGAAGGAAGAGAGAGGGTGTGTGAAGTAGGCCACAGTAAATCAGTTGAGGATTTTACAGAAGCTAAAGGCTTTAAGTGTTTATAGTAAAAGATGAGTAAAATAGATTTTAAATAAACAAAGCCAATGCAGTTTCTGAGACATAGGGTTTGTAAATAGGCCAGAGGTGCTGACTTTGAGAGTTCCTAGGGGATCCCCCCTCTGCCCCTAGGCCCCACCCGCACTCCACCCCTTCTCCCAAGCCTCTGCCCCCACCCTGCCTCTTCCCACCCCCACTCTGCCCCCACCCCGCCTCTTCCTGCCCCATTCCGCCCCCTCCCTCACCTCTTCCTGCCCCGGCTTCTCCCTCTCCTCCCCCAGTGCCTCCTGCATGCCACTGAACAGCTGATCACCAGCGGGTGGGAGGTGCTGGGGGGGAGAGGGAGGAGCTGGCTGCTAGTGGGTGCTGAGCACCCACTATTTTTTTTCCATGAGCGCTCCAGCCCCGGTGCGCCCACAGAGTCGGTGCCTATGACAGAGGCAGTGTCTTGTCACCATTCCTTGTCCAAAACCTCCCCATTCTTTCACAGAGTTTATCTTAATTTTTTCAATAAAGGAACACAGCTCTAAGTCAGGACTTTACTCATATATATAAAAGAGCAATTTTTAGCTTGACTTCCTGGTCCTCTCTGTAGCTCTCCTTTCCTCAGTGGCCACTATTCCTTTTTAATCCCTGGGTTGGATCTAAAAATGCTGGCCTGTGCTGGCTATAAGGGTAACTTGCTAGAATAGCTCTGCACCTGTTCAGACACCTGGTCAAAGGGATCGTCATCTCGGAAACAAAATTAATCTGTACAACTCGTTCATGTAGTAAAGGATGTTCTTTTTAAAGGGAAAAAAATCACTCAGGACTTGGAGGTTTTTAATTAATGAAAGTAACTGACAGTTTATTTTTATCATGAAGCAGTAATTTTAAAAAGTCAATCTATCAACACCAACCTTATCAGAGTAGGGAATAAAAGCTGCTCTGAGCTTCCCAGAGGAGGCCAATGACTGAATACAATTCAGAACATAAATTTTCTAGGAATAAAGTGCCTAGCCTGCAACAATAGCAATAATAGAAATGAAGACAAAAAGGAAGAGGAAAATTGTTATTATGTATTAACTCTCATCTTTTGCTGTATGGTGAGCTTTGACCTGGTGACTTTTCAATGAATTTGATTAGGATACAGATTGGGAGAATTCTATGGAGAATAATGGGTGGCCCTATCAAGATTGTATATACAAAGCTCATTTTCTTCCAATGTATACAGTCAGTGTTTGATCACTAGGCAATGAGACATTTTCATTTCATTAAAGAACTTAAATTATTTAACTCTTAGATGTATGTAGAATGCACCCAGTAACATCCCCATCATGTCACGGGTGGAGGGCTGAGGTTCTGATTGAATTAGAAATCCCAAAGCCACTTCCTCTCACATCAAAGTAATGGTTACAATGGACTGTGGCATGACAGCTGGTAAAGCCCACTTGAAAGAGGTCCAAAGCTGTTTATGAAGACAGCACAGAGCATGAGGTCTGCAGTCCCACCAAAGGAGCTGTAGCATAGCTGTTACAAGAAAATTCATGCTTTAACAATGAGGTCTGTGACCTAAGTAAATGTGAAAACCAAACCTATTAAACAACCTGTGCTGTTTAAACTTGTCACAGCTTATCACCATTGTTTAGAGTTATTGTGCCAGAACTGCAACAACAAAAATCTGATCTAAATTGGGCAGGTGGACATCAACTGCAGTAGAGGTCACTACATATACAGAAGAGGCAGTTTCAGCATGAAGGAAGCAGAAGCGCATGTAATGCCACATGCCTGGCTCCATCAGCAGGGATTAAACCTAGGATGCATAGATCTTAAAACATGGGAGCTAAAAGACCAAGCTCTATTAGCTAAAACTGTAGCAGGCTCATCAATCCTCATCTATGGCCCAGCCAGCACTAGGAGGAGATTGAGTACCACACTAAGTGGGAATGAGTTACATACATGCTTAAATCATCACAGGGAAAAATTAATTGTGCCTGCCGGCTGAATGCCTCTGCGTTGTCCAACACAATCAATATTGTCTTCATATGCTATACCACTAAACTGGCTCTAAAACAAATATGAATTTAACTAGTTTTTTAAAAAGTCCTCATCCTTGCACGCTCCTTCCTGTCGCCATCACAGCCAGTGTTAACAACTGTGATGCACAAAGTGGAAGACTATCACAGCTGAATGCTTCTAGACAAGACTGACTATAGCAAGTGTTTGGCATTTCTATAGCTGTTATATAACTTGTCTATGTTGCTACAAAATTCCTACTTCATTTATATAAATTATCCACAGCACAGGTTTGTGTCCTTGATTCTTCAATATTAACTAAAAGCTCATCAAAGCTGATTCACTGTTAGGCCAATTCCTTCTCTGTGTATAATTCCTTAAGTCACAAAATGATGGGAATTAAAAAGAAAGCTTTATTGATATTTCTAACACTTAAACTATGGGTAAGTAGAAACCATAGGAGTAGGTATTGGATACACTCATTACAGAAGGAAAACACACAGGTGTGTGCACACGTGCATATGTGTGTGTGAGAGAGAGACAGTATATTTAGACTTTTAAAACAATAAGTCCCCTCTCCAAAGATCTAGGCTCCCTGTCATCACTTCAAAAATCATATATTTTATACAATACTTTATTCAGAAAAAAATGTGTTAAAAAAATTGTGCTGCAAAGTCAAGCATTCAAACATTAGGAAATTGCAGCATTCAGGATGCCCTTTAGTTCATCTCCCTTGTGCATCTGATACAGTCTTTAATTACATGATCACATACTATTTTTCCCATAGAACCTCTGCCTCATTCAGTGAATGGATAGTTGTTCAATATTTTGCTTTATTCTTCACATTCAATGTTATTGAATTTATAATCACACCACCACGGTGAGAATTCACTCCCCTCATACCCTCTGTTCCTACCCACCCCGCAGCTTCTGCTTCCTTCCCCTCTGCTCCAATCCACCCCACTACTACCCTGGTTCCTGACCCTCTTTCCCTCTGCTCCTAGCCACCCTCCATCCTCTGGCTCCTGCCCCTCTCTCCTATACTCCTATCCTCCCTTTCAAGCCCCCAATCCCTCTGTACCTATGTACCTATATAGCTCCCACCATCTCACTCCCCCTCTGCCCCATCCTCCACCACCCACTGACTCCTTTCCCCCACCCCCACTGCTTCTTCCTATTCTCTGGCTCCTGCAACAGCCCCCTCCTGCTGCCACCATTTCTCACCCCACTACATTCCCATTATCAGAGGGGTAGCTGTGTTAGTCTGTATCCACAAA